CTAAAATTTTAATTAAAGATATTTTTACAAATCTATAGAATTTAAATAAAAAATTTTTATTAATTTGTGATTCTAATAGGGTATTTTTATTAGTAAATTTACAAAAAACGTTTTTAAAAAATGTAAAAATTGTGTAATTATATAGAGTTTGTGATAGTATAGGAGGTGATTATATGGGAGGACGACTATACAATTAATCAAGATAAAATACTAACCTTTGCTTTTCTTATTTCCTGGATATTTTTGAATTTATTCTAATTAATTCAAGAAAATGCCCAAATCTATTCAACACCAATTCCAATTTCCCAGGCTAGTTGATAAAAGAAGTGTTAGAATAAATTCACTTCTCTGATATTTCTGAATTCATTCTAATCAATCCAAGAAAATGTTGGATCCATTCAACACCAATTCCAATTTTTTCAGACTGGTTGATAAAAGAAGTATTAGAATAAATCCATTTTCTGGATATTTCTGAATTTATTCTAATCAATCCAAGAAAATGCCCGGATTTATTCAACACCAATTCCAATTCTCCCAGGCCAGTTGATAAAAGAAGTGTTAAAATGAATCTATTTCCCGGATATTTTTGAATTCATTTCAATCAATCCAAGAAAATGCCCAGAGCAATGGTGTCTATTCAACACCAATTCCAATTCATCCAGGCTGGTAGAAATTCTTTAGCCGGTTGATAAAAGAAGTGTTAGAATCAATCTTCTTATACAATTAATCAAGATAAAATACTAACCTTCGCTTTTCTCATTTCCCAGATATTTCTAAATTCATTCCAATCAATCCAAGAAAATGCTCGAATTCATTCAACACCAATTCCAATTTCCCAGGCCGGTTGATGAAAGAAGTGTTAGAATGAATTCATTTTCCAGATATTTCTGAATTCATTCTAATCAATTCAAGAAAATGCCCGGATCTATTCAACACCAATTTCAATTCTTCTGGGCCGGTTGATAAAAGAAGTATTAGAATGAATTTATTTTCCAGATATTTCTGAATTCATTCCAATCAATCCAAGAAAATGCCCAGAGTACTAATGTTTATTTAACACCAATTTCAATTCTTTTGGGCTGGTTGATAAAAGAAGTGTTAGAATGAATCCATTTTCTGGATATCTCTGAATTCATTCCAATTAATCCAAGAAAATGCCCGGATCTATTCAACACTAATTCTAATTCTTCCAGCTGGTAATCTTGGTTCTTTAGGCTCTTTAACAGCTATTTTTAGAGATGTTATATGGTTTGGTCTTAGACTAATAGACTACAGTTAGTCTTAAGATCAGTCTGAGCCAAAAAAAAATTGGTCTGCTCTAAGTCTTAATACTAGACCAGTCTGGACCAGTCTAGACTAGCAAAGTCTTAAGACTGAAGACCATAATAGACCAGACTAGACTTAGACCAAAATTGACCAGACTAAACCAGACCGGAATGTTAATATCTCTAGCTGTTCTCCTAAATTTTGGGACAAACTAAAAATTTGGTCGCTTCCTGAAATCTCTTCTGTTTTGTTTTAAAGATCTCTAACTCTTCAGAATCATGTCATTGTCTTTGGAACTTCAGTCCGAAGATAGCAATATATTTTTTGAAGAACTATGATTTATAGAACGAAACCAGAAGATTTTAGAAAACAAGCAAATTTTTAGCATGTTCCAGAATTTATGAGATAATATCTTGTTAAAGAATTTGTATCTAGTATGTAATTAAGGTTGAGTTAGTTTGTATTGTAAAAAAAATGAATACCAGCAAAAATTCAGTGAGATAAAAAAAAAAAATTCGCCATTATTGCTATACTTCACAGTGGCTATTAAACTCCCTGGCGGATTTGAAAAAAATATGCAAATGCATGTTTCATAGTTACAATTATCAACACCAATTCCATATCGATAACATTCATCTAAAGCATATAAATTACTCATAATTATTATCAACACCAATTCCATATCGATAACATTCACCTAAAGCACATAAATTACCTATAATTAATATTAACACCAATTCTATATCGATAACATTCACCTAAAGCATATAAATTACCCATAATTTTAGCTCAGAGATGAAAAATATGAATTTTTCTTGCTTCTTTCTCTATTTTACCTGGGTTATTTGGTCAGGAGTTAGGACCTCTTGGGGTATTAGGAGGAGGCTAATTAGGAGTATTTGAATTAGGATCTACATTAGAAGTAGGCAGAGTATTATCAGGATTCAATTTGCCTTCGAGAATGCCTTCCACGTAGTTTAACTAATTTAAAGAGGTGTTTTGTATAATATATATCTGGCCACTATTGGCCGACAATTACACTTGTGTTTCAGTTTTTCTATTTCTTGCTGTAAATTTTCTAGGCTTTGGTTCAGTAAATTGGAAAGTGTTACAGATTAACGTCTAATCACTAGTCCCAAAAATACTCTAAAACTCCAACTTCAACCTCATGTTCTTTAACTTTTTCACCACCATTCTCATCTTCTACTTTCACTTCTTTGTGAATGGCATTGAGGTTGCTAGAGACAAATGATCTTCAAAATTTGGGCTTAGTCGACTACCTTCCATAATTGTACTATCATAGTCATGTTAATCTTACCTTAGTAGTATTAAAGCGGCCAAGGTTTTGTAAGTTTATTCAGTCTGGCAGCATCACTTTTTCTGGAAAAACTTTACTGAAATTAGCCAATAATACTTAAATTTTTTTCGAATTTGAAAGTTTATTACCTCATTTGTTGCCTAAATTTGTCTAAATTTGCTCTCTAAGTGAAGTCTTTTGGGATACTGATCTATACTGATCTTTTTTCACTAGAGACGTACAAAGAGGTAAAAAATACTTTAAACTGTTTTAAAAAAACTTTTATTGTGTGAAACCACGAGTTGCCAATTGATGATGTGGTTTTTCATAGTAAGGGTTACTTTAAAAATTTTAATTTATGTTGTGTAACTCAGTGATCTTCAAGCCAATCAAATCGAATGTCCGCCATGCTAGTAAAGCTGGTATGAAGATTACGTAAAACCTGTTTTACTGAAACTTACAGAAGATAACATGTATTGTAAAATTGTAACTTTTGCAATTCAAACTGATATCACCTAAATTATTTTTATTGCTTAATGACTTTAATATTACATGACTTAAATTTCTCTGATGCTTTAATGGATGAATTATTAGTAGATTAAATAACTAGGGACCTTTGTTTGAAAAGAGACAGGATTAGGCCTGTCTTATCAAGAATTAGAGGCAAATAAGTTAGTCTTCTAAACTCAAAGAACCCAGAGTGAGTATACAAGTGAAAAAAATAGTAAGTATTATGGAGATCGCTAATAATCAATCTAATATTACACAGCATTTACTTGAATACCATTGTGCGATGATAATAAATAGAGCGAACCTAGTTCTAATCATGCTTAGACTGAATATTAATAATAGTTGATAAAAGAACATAGATGCTGAATAGATAAAAGTGCCTGACGCCCAGTCTAAAAATATCAGATACAGGAACCTGGTGTCTGGCCTAAACATGAGAGCCAAATGCCAATATGCATAACATGCATTTACAGATTCCTAATTGGAACCAATCCCATTATTCTTAAAATAAGTTGCCTCAGAGACAAACCATAAATGAAAAATAAGAAACTTCTAATTGTCGTGATCATATGAGTGCTGCCAAGGAAAAGTAGAACATCAGTTTATCATTGATTATTTAAATAATCAATGATAAACTGATGTTCCACTTTTTTTTAGCAACACTCATATATGCATTACTTGCGCCGACTCTTAAAAGGCTTATAGCAAAGTTAATTTAGTTTACCAGTCTAAAAATAGCAGGTACAGGAACCAGTGCCTGGTCTAAACATGAGAACCAAATGCCAATATGCATAACACATGCATTTACAGATTCCTAATTGGAACCGATTCCATTATTTTTAAAATAAGCTGTCTCAGACAGACCATAAATGAAAAATAAGAAATTTCTAATTATCATGATCATATGAGCGCTGCCAAGAAAAAGTGGAACATCCTATTTATCATTGATTATTTAAATAATCAATAATAAACTGTTGTTCCACTTATCCTTAGCAGAACTTATATGCATCACTTACGCCAATTCTCAAAAGGCTCATGACAAAGTTAATTTAGTTCACAAATACTTTGATAATAATAATCAGTAATGCTGTAATCAAAATACACTAACCTTTGCCGCATTTACTCACAAAATATAAAAATTTTTGCTAAGTAAATTAGTTAATTTTCTTAGTTATAATATAACAATTAAACAAAATCATTATTTCAAAATTGAATAATATTGCTTCAAAATTATTTAAAGCTCTTTTTAATATATCATCCCAAAGATTTTTATCTAAAATTTGATACCGCCTTAATATAAAGTATTCTTCATGCAATTTGATATGCTTATTTCGAAATTGTGCATTGTTATAGAGTTTCAAATAATATGCAGATAGGCGTTTCTTTGATAAAATATGGTAGCTATTAAATGATTCAATGAAGTATGTAAATTAAAGTTCAGTTAAAAAATGTAATAAAAGGGAATCTTTTGCTTGGTAAGTTCTAGGCTTTTTTTCTGGCTTGAAATAATAAAGCCTCTTGTATATAACCACTGCAAGAATTTCATACCTAAAAAAAACAATTATCTTTTGATTGTTCAATTTTAAACAATTATGCCAAAACCTTCGGACCTTAAAAGGTTACAAAAAGAAAAAATAAATGCAGCCTGCTTTGCCCGAAATCTTATTGACCTTAGCTCAAGTGAAGAATATGAAAGCATTAATTCAAATTCAAATAAAGATAACGATTCAGATAATTATGATTTCATATATGATAATAATGATGATAGTGCAAAATCAATAATCAACAATCTTCTTTTGGCTTCAGAGACAAGTTTCAAAAAAGTGGACGTCCAAAAACATATATTGGGCTTTCTGCATGGACTCGTCAAAGAAAAAAGAAGATATTAAAAGAAGCAGCAGTGGGAAGCTTAAAGATTACAAGTTTTTTCCCCACTAATGATGAAAATGAACAAGTTGGTACTTCAGAGAATGAATATAGTAATAGTGAATCAGAGGATGAAGAAGTTTTGATTAGTAATGCTATCGAATTTGTGAATAAAACAATAATAAAAAGAAACTGATAAAACTCGTTATACATCTGTTATTTATTTTCTTCAATTGCTCTTAGATAGACAAGGAAAAATAAAAGCATCAGGAACTGTTATGAAGGTAGTTAATAGTAGTTCATGGCTCGCAAGATATATTAGACAATAGGCAAACATCTGCATAAAAGAGGAATTAATCTCACCAAGTTTGAAAGGAAAATTGTTTACCAAAAGTCTACTTTATGACAAACTGGTTTCTCTTCAATTAGCTGCTTATCTACAGTCTCAAAAGTTTAAAGTAACTCCTGAATTAGTTAAAAATCATTTTAATCAAGATATTTTACCTCAATTAAATTTGAAAACTATACAATATATTTCAGTTCGAACTGCACATCGATGGATGCATAAGCTTGGCTTTCGTTATCAATGATATCAAAAGGGTGCCTATGTAGATGAATATGAGCGACCAGATATTGTTGCTTATCGTCAAAATTTTCTTGATGAAGTTGCACAGCTTGATCGATTTATGTCTAAGTGGCTTGATCAAGACTATAAAATAAGAACCTTTCCACAACTAAATGATAATGAGCAAGAGCATGTGTGGGTGACCCATGATGAAAGTACCTTTTATGCCTATGATGGACCACATTCTGTGTAAGGTCCAAAGGGGAAACAGCCATTGCGAAAAAAAGGATTGGGGCCTAGTGTACATATAAGTGACTTTCTAACAGAAACAATTGGGCGTTTTAGAGATGAGCAAGGTGAAGCATGTGTTACAATAGTATTAGGTGCTAACCGAGATGGATTTTGAAACTCAGAAAAGCTTCTTGAGCAAGTTAGAAATGCAATAGTCATTTTTGAACGAACACATCCAGGATGTATAGGTGTATTTGTCTTTGATAATGCTACTTCATATATAGCTTTTGCTGAGGATGCTCTTGTAGCCTCCAGAATGAATCTTGGTCCAGGAGGTTCAGTTCCAAAAATGAGAGATACAGTATGGAATGATAATTATCAATCGATGGTGATTGAAGAAAATTACTTTGTTTGTAACAAAAAAAAAAAAACAAAAGTTAATTTACGTAGTCAGCCTAAAGGTAAGATTATGGAATATAAATCAGTTATACACTGGGTTTTATATGTATAAGAAAATTTTATTTTCACCTATACTAATAATAGTCCATATTGTTTCACTGACAATCACTTCATAGACACCATATTTCACAGACAATTATTCATCAAAAAGTTCATTTTATTGACAGTCTATTTCACCAAAGCTCATTTCACTAACATGTTTTTTTTTTATAAATTATACTAACTTTAACTCTAGTTTTAACCTAACTCTAATGATATTAACCAGAATTACTTTGTCTGTAAAATGAGCTTTGGTAAAATAAACTATCAGTAAAATAAACTTGCTGGTAAGTACTGTAATTGTCAGTAAAATGTGGTGTCCACGAAGTGATTGTTGGTGAGTTGATAGGATTCTACTAAGAACACCTAATATATAACTATTATTTACAAATTCAAAAGCAGATAATAATTGTAAAAATAGAAATTTTTATCTCTTTTTTTTTTTTTTTACCACTTTTACTTAAAGACATCAAGTGGGTCCTTGATGAAAGAGAATTATGGCAAGACAGGCTAGCATTGGATTGTGTTTTATATAAAAAAAAAGAAGCAAGTATTGATTATTGTGCACGTCAATTAATGGCCAACCAGCCTGATTTACTTGAAGAACATGGCCAAATTCAAAAGGAAATCGAATTTAAAGGGCATAAGATTATATTTTAACCCAAATTTTACCCTGAATTCAATTATATCGAAATGTACTGGGAAGCTGCCAAAAAGTACACCGATTTCATTGTGAATAATATTCCTTACCAAAACTCAAAAAGTCAATTATTCAGGCATTTGATTTTATTTCTGAAGAGAGGATTCGCTCCTTTGCTAGATTATCATTTAGGTGGATGGATGCTTATCGGTATGGATTAACAGAAAAAGCTGCTGAATATGCAGTCAAAAATAATAAAAGGAATAAGAGGCATAGGTCAGTTAACAAAAAAATTATGAATCAGATTATAAATGAATTACAGTATTAAATTAAATTTTTGAAAAAATAAAAAGACAACATTACTTATCTTGTTTGTAATATTATAAACACCAATTATTTGTTATTCTAGAGCTTAGATTAAATATATTTACATTTAAAATATCAAAGTTTGATCGATTCCAACATATCGTGTTATTACTATCAATTGGTTAATTGTAAAAAAAAAATGATTACATAAAAAAGCATTGTTTAAATTATATAAGTAAAATGCGGTTTTAACTTCTTAATACTAGTTTCATAATATTTTATTAAGGCCATTCTTAAATAGCTTTCTTAATCTATAGTGATTGAGATCTGAAATTAAACTAAAATAAGCGAACAAGAAAGTCAGTGAAGTGCTTAATGTTATGCAGAAATAGACTACTCAAAGATCTGCATCTATGTATGTATGTCATATGTACTAGAAATGTACGAATTGTAACTAGTTATAATATAAGGTAGTTATAGCTTAAGCTATAACACTATTGGGTATGTATGTACATATGTATGTGCAGTATATATGTACAAACAGTGTTGAAAATTTCATTAGCATCCTATTAAATTTTACTACTGTACTTGACGAAATTGGCATTTTGCAAATAGATTTGATACCATTTACTACCTATTGAAATTTACTTTATATAATGAATTTGATGTCTTTTACTATCTAGTAAAATTGGCACTTAATATGTAGATTGGATGTCTCTTGCTGTTCCGCACTGTAGTAAATATGCACCTCTATTATTTAAAAAAATAGTAGTTATTTTTAGAGTTTTATAGTAATAATTTAAATTTTTTTTTTTTTTAATTAAAGAAAACCTTCTTGGTCAACAAGAGTTTATTAAGCAAAGTTAGAAATTTCTTTAGTTGAGTGATGGATTATCAATTAAATTATTGTTTTTTTGCTCTTCATTAATAAATTCTTGAGCATTATTTAAATTAAATTTCTAAATTAAATTATTAAATTTAAAAGGATATATAATTTTAGCATTTTGATTTGATTTGGCAGATAATTTTGTTACAATA